GGGGGGGGGGGGGAAGACATAAACACAATATATTAAAGATTCCAGAGTAATTCCCTTTAAAAGCAAAATTTCAGCAGCTTTTAGACTGTATTAAATTATGTCTTCTTGTTGCCTTGCTAACCTTTTAGAAAAAGAGGGTTGACATTCAAATCGATAATAATATTTACCTGCAGGTGTCAAAGCACTTCCCAAAATAAGTCAGTAAAACAATCTTCTCAGAAATGGTGCAATGAAAGCATTAAGATGAAAAAAAAAATAGCAACAGAACCAGGAATGACAGACCAAGTCTTCCACCATCCAGCTAAGGCCTTTGTGTGCTAAACTCCCCCACCTCTGACAAATGACTTAGGCTCCTTAAGCTGAAATTTCCAAGTGATTTATCTACTTAGCAATGTGAAACCAGGCCACTCAGCACAGATACCACTTCTGCTCGTTACTCTGATTACAGTCACCTGCCACTGCTCTTGAGAGTGGAGTGCTCTGACTACTAAGCCTCTTTGGGGGGCTTCTCAGAGGTGGCAAACTGAGGTCATTTGTCAGGCTGGAGAAAGCATTCCTTATTCTTCCTTGTTCTTCCTCTTTCACCTCCTCCATCATTCCATCAGGTATGCTCCTAAAAGATTTTAATTCACTACAGTGAGCTCCAGTGATGCCCACCCTGTTAAAAAACATCATGTTAATCTGCTTGACACAATGAAGCAAAGGAAATTGGGAGAAATGGGGACAGATCTGTAATGTTTCCTAGGTAAAAACCAGCAAGGAACATTGTCTCCTTTAGCAGAGAACAGCTGCTCTTCCCCAGGGTAAAACAAATAACATGCTTATACCCTCAGCACCTTGCACACCACGTCATGTTTCTGTCTGGAGCGTGCACGCACGCAACGTGAATTGCGTATGTCCAGGTGAAGCTCAGTGCTCCCTGGAAAGGTTGGCCCTATTACATATGAATTACATGACTCTCTGCATCAGCTATAAATCCAAGATGCTCCGGATGCACCCAGCTTCCAAGGCATGCACAAAACAATTACATGTACATTTGTAGCAAATTTCATATTCTCAAGAAATACCGGCCTCGCTGGTTGTGTGTTGTAGATATGTCCAAAGTTTTTGCATGTACAGTGATGCAGCATTCATTAGATTGCCAGGACTCTGAAGATCCAGACAAATGAAGGCAATTCTCAAATTTTAATTTCCAGGAAAAAAAAAGAAGACTTATGAGGGGAAGTCTTGCAGGAAGCCCTACATACACTTCAACAGCGTTTTACAGTGGGCCTGTTTACATGAGTTATTACATTAAAAAGTACTGTAGTAGTGCTGTTAACCATGGCTTGATGGGAAATGGAATTCCTCTTGTATGGCGTACCCAGTCTTGAAAGATTTTGGTTTATCATAAATCAGAAGAAAAGGTTCTATTGCTATTACAATTGAAATTCTATTTTAAAAGTACAGTGTAGTAATAAAATTACTTTTTGAGAATGAAGTACATCAGTAATGTCTGATCAGAACTCTATTCAAATCTAAAAGACAAGAAGAATAAGAAATTGGAATGAATCATGAGAGGGAAATAATAAACATCCCATTTTGATTTTGAGATGTTTCTATTAATTTCTGTTCAAATTTATGTTAAAGCATATTTCTTCAGAAAACTTCTGAGTTTTAACAAAGCACTACAATGGACTGTAACTGCTTTGCCACCAGTTAACCAAGAGCACTATCTCCGCAAGTTTCGGGCTCTCTCAGGTCTCTCAGAACCTACACTCCTGTTACTCTCGAACTCCCATGTAAACCCAATCCTCAGTCTGATGGTCCTTCTCCCAGTGAGGAAGATCTTGGTGTCTGACACCCTTCCTCATAGAACTACCAAATTGATTTATGCAGAGAAACAGCCCCTTACTTGGTAGTGAACCATTCTGAGAAGTCCGTCAGGGCATCACATGTGCAGGGTTGAAGGTCTCTAGGCTGACAGTGGTGGTTCTGGGAGAGGTATCGAGCACTGTCCTTCAGTAAGGGCAGCAGCATGCCGAGCAGTAGCAAGCGCTGGTGAACCATGCTGTGGATGGAAGGATGCTTGGCACGGACTTTTCTTGAAAGAAACAAATGCAGGTGTTACCTCAGCGTATTCGGACAGGCGAGGTTCACTAAGGACTCGCCAGCGTGTCAGATGTGTACCTCAGATATGGCAATCGCACCGTATTTGCATCAGTAGTTTGGTCTCCTGGTTTCTGCAAGTCAACATTGTCTCTTAAGGCAGGGCTGAACATGTCAGAGCCAAGAAGCCTGCCGATTTCTTTCTGAATCACTTGGAAGGGCTTCCGTCTGAACACAAGCCAAGCCACACAACTGCAGAAGTTGTAGAAGCCATAAATTGAAAACACCAATCCCCTTTTCACGGGGAAAAGGCCCAGAGTCCCACTACATCCCAGAGTGCAGGTTGGCATGACTCCACTAAAATGCCAGCAACCATTTGACATCAAACTTTACCACACATGCATCAGTGAAGATTTGAAAGGCCTGTTTTTTTAAAGGTATGCAGACAGATGAGTCTAGAAACAGAGTTAGCTCAGATGGATTTCATCTTGCTCAACTCTGACCAGTTTGGCTTAGTCTTGCTGCTAGAAACTAAGGAGATAACCTGAGATCACCACGCAGTTTCCCTCAATAATCAATGGAAAGAAGCTGACGGGATGAGTCATTCTGTGGGGGTTCATATCGCTCACGTCTCTCTCAAGAGGCAACAATTCACCCTCTGGCTGAGCTTCTCTCTTCTGCAATGGCTGCCAAGGCAGCCGAAGGGCACGGTCTGACTGGACAGCTATTGTCTGGGCAGCTGCAGGTAGACAAGATGATCCCCACCCTGCATGACAGCATTATGATCACAGAAAATACTACTACCAAACACGAATTCATTTCATCTCACCTCTGCATGTCTGCTTGCTGATTAGAAAAACAAAATCTAGCGTTTCACTCCTATTATTTAATATTTGTGATCCCTGACATAAGCTGAATCAACTCCCAATAAATCACATCTCTACTACATCTGTTCTTGAAAAGATGGCATTGTGGGGACTGCTGTGTATCCTTGGTATTAAATCCACAGTTCCCCTCTTTCAAGGAAAGGCTTCCAAGTTTATGAAGTACAGAGTATAATTTGAGCCCAGCTGTTTTGTATGAATCTGCTGAAGCCCTGCTACATAGTGAGTCTCATAAATGGCTGATGCAGCTCTATATTGCAGGCCAGAGAGCTTATTGGCATCTAGAAATGTTGCCAGCGGCAATGGAAATAAAAGAAGACTGTAAAATTTCTTACCTACCTACAGTGATGAACCTATGATGCCAATGATGAGAAGAAATCTATAGGCTAGACTTTCCAGAGGGACCTCAGGCTGTGGTGGGAACTGCCTGGGGCCTGGGAACCACAGAGGGACTGAAACTCCTGGGCTGAAGGCTCCAAAGAGCAAAGGCTTGGGCTGAAGGGCAAAAAGATGGTATTTTACAGGGACATCTAGGCCCTAGAGGTAAAATTTTATTCTAGGTACTCTGCCCTACAAGTAAACTACTGGAGAAACCAAAAAGGAAAGGAGCATTTGGATGTGCAAGGGAGGGACATGCTCTGGGCTGACTCTCAGTCACACTCTCCATTTATCTTTGTGTCTTTCTTACCTCAAAGAAGCTCTGATCTTTCTGCAACGATGTTTTTCTCCTAAGGCAGTGAACAAGAGCACAAAATTAATAGCAGCAGTTCTCCTTTCAGTTCTCTGAACAGAGCATTGAATATGACTCATGGGGCTATGCCAAGCTGGCATTTCACCACGGCAATAAAGTTGTTGCTGGTAGATCCTCATTACTAGCATGTGGAGACCCACTGTCCAAAAGAAAGGCAGGACTTCTGCGTTGCCTCAGAAGGAGAAAATGCAAAATATTGTATGGCTTAGTTAATTAAATCTGACAGAGAACAAAGCTGGATGTGATGAGTGGGCGAGACTCCCCTGCTATGCTATCTAGACTGAGCTTTCTGCATGGGCCTCTCAAAAGTAGTCAGCACTGATCTAACCCAGTTCCCACTGAAGTCAATAAAAAACTCTTCCTGACATCACTGGAAGAGCAACAAGCAGAGTTACCAAGGGCACAAAGCCAGGCCAACGCTGAGACAATAAATTTGAAAACCAGGAAGGAGATGCCTGATGTATCTCCAAGAAGAAATGTAAAACATGCCCAAGAATGACAAAGGGCCTTTGTTAAAGAAACAGCAATTTGCCGGGTGGAAGCCTGAGGGATGCTCTCGCCACCCAGTTGAGCCAGGGGATTCTCACACAAAGCCAAATGACTGTCCATCATGTGAAGGGCCATTAAAGCGGAGGGTGATGCACACATCCCAGCAGCCACTCAGTTCTCCTGGAGATGGCACAACTCACCCTCATGGAAATGAAAGCAAATTCTCCCTGCTAGCCTACAGATCCCCACAGATCTGGCTTAGTCCTGCCAGATGCACAGGAAAGCCTGTCTCCACATCAACTCACCAACTCCTGACATAAGGATAATATCCTTATCTTCCTGATAATACCAAGTGTCCCACCCACCTAGGGTACCCACAGCTGCCATCACTCCAGAAACTTCAATGCAGAGCAGACCATGAAGATAATACCTTTCAGCCCTATAGTTCTATTTATCATCTTCTGACTTTTATTTACTGATTTTTTGATTGAGAAGACCTGGATCCCACCAGCCAGAATCCTGCTGACACTTCACATATTGTGCAAGGGAAGAGAAGCTTGGCTCTGCAACCATGGCATGACTGTTTGCCAAAGCAGAACTCCCAGAACAACTCTGATGCTTCTGATTCCTTATGAATTCTGGTAAAGCACAGTCTTCTGTCTTCAGAGTACCAGATCAGTGAAACCTAAAGTGACCCCAGCTCCTTAAACCTAAATGTGAAACCCAGCTTCACCTTTTAACATTATACAGATCGTGCAATGACTTAGAACTAGTCCCAATTTTAGCGGAGAAACCTGTGCAGAGGCCAGCAGAGAAAATAGTGCTAAGAATGAGAGTGAAATAAGGACAGGGGTCTCCACCCTTCTTTCTCTCAGTGATTTCTTCCCTGAGGTGAGGTATTAAGTTAAGAGACCTGCTTGAAGTAAAGTTTCCTAAAATAAATGATGAATTAGGAGGCACCTCCCCTGTCTAAGGCACTGTCACTAATTACCTAGGAAAATTAAAAAACAGTCAGGAAAACTGATCAAACTTGCAACAAGCTTCAGCACAGAACTTGTAAGAAACGTGAAAGAGGAGCAAAAAGCATCATGCCTCCTCGTAACGTAATAATACTGATTTCTAAGAGCTGTGAGGGGGGCGGGATGAGTTCACGCGTAAAAGAGAAGGACAGCACAGCCAAGGGCAGACAGTGCAGTAAGCGTGGTGGGCTTTGGATGCAAGATGATAGTGGCTTCAGACATCTACAAGAACTATTTTTGTGCACAGGGGTACATGGGGAAGCAATGCTTCCTGTGCCGCTTAGCAGCAACTTCCACCGCAGCCGTGACTCTAACTGCCCACGGATCAAGCCAGCTTCAAGGATCAGTAAGGGCTGGCTTGACTGTGTTTATGGCATTGATGCATGCACCTTTGGGAACACTCTGTATTTTTCCCATTATGACAAATGCCCATAAGGAAACTGGCACCACAAAAAGGTTGCACAATCCCCATCAACTTAAAAGGAGAAAGCCAGACACACCTATTCCTTCCTCAGCATCGGAGGCACAAAAGGACTCATGCTAACACACACAAATAACAGGTCTGGAGGAACTCTCTCAAATTCCTGTCTGGGATAGTATCAAGATAGGACTTTAATGCTGCATTTTACAAAATCATGCAGATTGTTAAGATGAAGATATTCTCCACCTAAGCCTCCCTTTTTAAAATTTCAGAGAAAAACTTTACATGAAAAATTCAGTAATTTCATACGAACACATAGACATTTGGAAGGGAAGGCTTTGGATCTGGAAGGGAAAGAAGTTTACCAACACAGTATAAGTTTTCATTAAAATGTTGCTATGGTGAATTAAGAGCGAAAAGCAAAAGCTTCAACACCATCATGAACCCATACTTGGGTTATAAGAAAATATAGTAAAACAGAGGGTGGTACATTGTCAATAGTTTCTCAGCTTTTTAATCTAAACATTTTTCAGGTTAAAAAAAAAACAAAAACAAACTCATCAGAAGTAACCTTCCCCACAGTTTCCATTTTGGTGAAGTACCTTTCCTATCCAAAAACATGTGTGCTCAAAAAATTCCCAACCATCTTTTATAATTAGGAGCGTTAATCAGTTCTATCCCAAGACCTAAAGGTCTTGTATTTGGCAGTTCATATAATGATCTGGGAGGATCCAGATAACATTTAAGGCTAAACTGAGTCAGCCTGGAAAAGATTATATTTATATAATTGCAGTATGGGAAGTGCCCTATATTATAACAAGCTCAGCATTAGCCTAACTCTGAAGTCAGCTGTAGTCAGCTACCGCCACCCTGCTATGAGTAACATATTCATACAGCTCCTTACATCATGAAGGCTTTAAGACACAGCTCTTTTCTAGCCTTTTTTCTTTCACAGCCTTGACACTGACATCCCAACACACTGCCAGCCTCTAACCCCCGCTGGGATGGAAATACTAAAGCACATAGTTTCTTGTTTCAGCTCTTTGCTCTCACTCCCACACTGGTATTTTTTTTTTTGCCACTAGACCTCTTGCTTGCCTCAATCCTGCACATTCCCATCCACCAGACAACAGAGTGAGTGAAGAGGCAGCAGAGCTAATGAACTGGGTATACGACAGGCTGTTTTATCCAGCTGCCTCCAGCTCTTGGATTCAAGTTGCTTTCTGCAGTAAGTTCTCCCAGCTGAGTCTCGTAAGTGTAGACATTAGGGCCACCCAACAGAAATAATGAAATGCTGTCAAGATGCTCCCTGTCCAACCAGCAAAAAGGTTAAGAGGATGCCTTTGCTCAGCAGGAATCTGGGAGCAGGGATTTGGCAGGGAAGGCTGCTCCCCGCAGCGCCCACTGAAATGCCGGTGTGCCAGGATGCAGAGGGAACACATTCTTAATCCTCAGGGTCCATCACCTTGTGGAATGGAGCACACTAAAATGAAAGCCCTGTTTGGGACAGCAATTTCAGCTCTCCTTTGACTCCATCATTTCACAGTTTACCGTCTCCTCTTGATTAGAAGGAAAGCCAGGTTCCCCCACCCCAGCCAGGAGCAAGGTTGCCTGGAGCTGTGTTGCAGGAAGGCAGGTGAATGTTTGTGACTCCTCTGGGGGACTGGCAGCAGTTTCACAGCAACTGACGGAAAAAAATTTGCCTGAAACTGCTCTAAGAAGATCCTGTGGGACTGAGGTGCTGGGTGGGGACTGCCAGCTCCTTCCTACCGCCAGGGAAAGGAAACATTATGCAGGAACATACATGGTTGAGGAAAAAGTTCTCTAACATGAGCATGGTGTATGATCTCTGTGTCATTACATTCTCCTTCCACTAACCATTTTTTGTCATGATTTGTTGCTGGCCAGGGTTTGTTAAACACAACACCTTCATCTCCTGTTAAAACTCCCCTTTTCTTGTCCTCATCATTCCCTTGGTTTCTCTGTCTTTTCAAATACCTTTCCATTCTCTCCTGTCTTCTTCAGTTTCTTTTTTAATCCCCTCTACAGGTTTCTCTCCCCTTTCAGTTCATCACTGGGACCATCACCTCTAAAGAGCAGTTGGTCTCCACCACTCTGAAAAAGCCATACAATGTCTTCCCCACTCAGAACTAGGAGCCCTACACTCCCAGTGCCCAAGCACCTCTTCTTGTCTCTACTCCCTTTACTTGCTGCCCTTTGGGAACATGGTCTTCTTCACTTGCTAGACTTGCACTATGCTATCTCAGACTTGGCATAGGAAGAAATTCATGCAGGGATCAGTGGCAACCAGCATATACAAAATCATTTTCTTTACAGATTTAGTTAAAGTGGCAGGGATAAGATCCAGGGCTGGCACTGATTTTTGCCCTGTTGACTTCCATGTTGAACTAATTAAAGGTTCGTGCTCTAGCAAGGCTTACACGCACCAGGGCTAGGGCTTTCCGGTCTGGTATCCTGAGCTCTGCTGCAACTCATTGTGTCCACATCAGCTGGCAACAGCTCACCACAAACACTTCTGGGGTTGGTTATGAGATGAGACAGATCTGCAGAGAGATCAGGACACGGTCTCATGGTCCCTTAGCCCTCTGTGACTCCTTGGTTCACAAGACACTCATTACCCTGGGCATTCACTTGTGTCACTCAACAGAGGCCTTGGCCCTGAGCTGCTGTGGCCCTTGACATAGTGAGAGTCCCCAGAAGGGATTGGCTCCCTTTCCACTAGGCATGTGGTACTGCTGTGCCATGCCACGTCTGAGGATAAGGTTGCAGTACACCTTGGCAAGGTGAATCCTGGCCACTGCTAACTTCACCAACACATCGTCCATTTACCTATTCTCTAAAAATATAGTCAAATTTTCAGGGAAGGTGCTCTGGACAGAAGGGATGCTAGAAAGAGTGACTGTTCCTGAGAAGGGCGGTTTTCAGGCACACAAACCAACGTGCTTCATGACACCACTGTCAGGGGACCCCCGGTAGCAAGGCTGGGCTCAGGTAGTGCCGGTGGGGCCACAGGGCCCGGGGCATGGGCCCAGGCAGTCTCTCTTGCCCCAACAACTTACAGGCTGCATGCCCACAGCCCGTCAGGTTGCCGTCTTTGATCCTTCATAGCTTATGAGCCCTTTTTGCAGCCTGCATAAAAGCCCTGGAGGTGCATTTAGATCTCTCCTGGTGCAGACTCTGTCACTGCCTGGAGCAGTGGGTCTGGCTCATTCAGAGACAGCACTTACTCCTCTTCAAAAAGGCACACAAAGTGCTTTTGGGACTGCCTCTAAACAGGAACGGCTGACACCGCAAGCCTGTATTTTAAACCAATTCAGATCAAACACTAAGGAAATGCCAAACCAAAGAGCTTTCTATTTCCTCTGCTTCCCCTGTAATCCACCCGACTGTCTGCCAGTGCCTGGGAGCGCTGCTGGCCTAGAAGTTACCAGTCTCCTTTCACACTCAGGAGAGTTGGTTTTATCTATCCTATCCCTGATGGCCTCCAGCAATAAAGCTTCCTACACAACCCACCTTAAATAAATTAGGGCAATTACTCAGGGCTTCTGGAGCATAATTGCTAATAAAATTCAGCAGATTTTCCCCAAAAGACATGAAAGGGTTGGAAGCAGAAATAAACTAAAGGGGAAAGAAAATGCAGGACAAATAATAGCCCTTGATCCATTCATGTCTCATCCACCGCTGGTGAGTTTTTGTTCTTAGAGTCACATATTTCAGAGATGAATACTCCCAAGCTGTCTCCAGTGAGGGAATGCCTCATGCCCGCTGCTTTGGAAAACTGGTCACTTGGTTTTGAAGATCTTCCTGAACCTAGAGAATGTCAGGAAATCCTCAGGCTTGGATTTACAAAGAATCAGCATGGCATCAACAAAACACGAAGTCAAAGATGCCCAGATTCATCCTGCCTTTCTCTCATAGGAACCCTCTCCAATACTTTTTTTTCCTGAAGAAAGTTTAATGCACAGAGCAATGACTTCATAAGCCAGGATGGTCTTAGCTGTTCTCTTGAGGCACTGTGGACACTGATACTTCTACATGGTCTAGGTTCAAGACAGTTAAGGAGCTATTCAGACCATCAGGCCTGGCTCCCTGTGGACAAAAGTAGACCCAACAGATGAGTTAGGCATCTCTCATAGGCAGCCCAAATGGCAGGAACCCAAAACATTCCAACTAGGAGCAGGAATAACCAGCATTGCTTTCTGTGTTACTAGGTTATCTCACAGGGTCTACAAGAAGAGCAGCTTAAGGACTGCAGAGCCATTGGATGTGTCTGTCATACAGGAACACAAGGCTGATAAAGGACTAGGAGGGTCACCAAGCCCTGTCTCCAAGTAAGCTGTCTGTCGCTTTAACTGGGAGCAAATTATAGGTATTACTAACAAGAAACATGAAATAGTTCCAGCATGTCTTGCCTCCAGTCTGTCTCTACTTATGGCACATAGCCAGTACTATATAGGAAAACAAAAAAGCCTCTGAAACTAAATTATATCTTGGAGGAAGGAGGAGGGAGTTTTCTTCCTGAGCAGGCCACTAGCAACATCCCTGAGCATAGCATTTATGTGGGAGAGATATAGGAAAACAAATGGCTATGCAATCTTCTTTCACATTCTCTCAGATACATCAGCATATCACAAACCCAAGGATTCTTATCACAAGTGTAATTTTATGTCATTATGATTCTATTATGTAGTTATAAAATCCCTTTCACAAGCTCACAGAGCTCCACCTTCAGAAAAAAACATAGTTTTCTTGCCTGCCCCCATTACTTCCTAGTGGAAGACCATTCCAGAACTTTACTCCCCTTGCTACATTTGATTTTAAATATAGCACATACCAAGTTTTGAATTAGATGAGTTAGATAACAGGGGAAGCGGGATGTCCTGGACAGGGAAAGAAGATGCAATATCAGAAAGCTTTTCACCCTGTTCTTAATATCTCCCTGCTCCTCCAAGTCAGCTGAGATGCTGAATTGGTCCCATTAAATAGGACCTAAATTTGCCTTTTGTCATTTTCTTTTCCTTCCTTGTATTTATACTTCAGCAGATCAATATCCTGAATTCCTGCTTCTGCATGGTAAGTGTCTCTTCTTTAAGCTTCTCTGATGCTAATACTGCAGGTTGGTAATCCAGACATGCAAGCCACTTCCCTTCAGGGGAGGTAATGAATCAAAATAAAACAGTGTTGTAGAAGTGGAGAGTCAGTATATGTTTCCCTTCAAAAGGCAGGACTCACTTTGGGAGCCCTGCATGACAGAACACACCAAAAAGTCTCTCCTGGCAAGGTTTACCCAGTACTTATAGCTGATACCTATTAAGCAGAGCCCCCTTGACCCAGGAAACATATTGCAGTAGGTCCAAACTCCTCTTTGTTTCTGTATTTGCCACACCAGTAGACGATATGAGCCGTACTGAGGTGTCATGACCCATGGAGTGGCCTCCTTGTCCTTTACCTGCCAAGAGCGAGGGGACCATTTTCTAAATTGCAGCACAGAGCACCTCAACTGAATCTACCTTTGTGTATGAAACTAGGATGATGGTTTTCTTTATTGATGAATTATTCCTTGCACAATGAAAGAAGCAGTTGTCAACCAATGGCTGTAGAACAAACCAATTCCTTAAGGCCAGCAATCCTCCAATGGTCTTTTCTTCAATCCAGATAAATCAGCCCCTCTTTATATCAAGGCTTCATGAACTGTGAAGTAAATAATCATTAAGTGTTTTAAAAAAATAGTCAATCAATTCTCAGAGACTATTATAGACTCCAGAAAATCATTGAAGTTCCTTACAATCACGGTTTGTAACTCTGCAATGCTTCCTCCCAAGGCATAGAGCCCTCCGACACAGCAGCTCCTAAACTGTTCCCCTGGCACCCCCACTTCCACTCTGCAAGGTGGCAAGCGTGGTCACACACTCTTACCTGGGAACTGCGTTCCTAGCGTGTAGTCCTCATGTTGTAACATGTTTCTAGCACCTAGGAGTCATCTGAACCTGCTTTGCAAAGTATTTAGAAATGAAGTGTTAAAGCGATGTGACCCACAGCACAAATTAACACCCAGCAGACTCAGCTGCGACTATTCGCTGCTCTGTATTGCAAGCAGAACTGATTGGATGCTAATGTTATTAATGGAAAATGGCATTAAAGGATGGTAATTCGATCCAGGGCACTCAGATTTAACATTCGTGGTAGCAGTAATGATTTATTCAAATTGAAGCATTACCTTGAGGAGACAAATTATTTCATGATCCCATTGCGGCAGGACTGGATCCAGCCACCATCTTGAAAGGGAGACTGTGGTGATGCCATGCCACATGAACAACAGTGCATGCTGCTCAGGGCAAATCTGGGCCAAAGTGGGGTTCAAATCCGCCCAGAAAATCTTGTTTCTCTACATAGTCAGAGGAGCCTATATCCTGGAGAGCACAGAGGACAAGGGGATGGGAGACAAATGGTGAGACCAAGGTTTTTCTCCTTTAGTATTCCATATATAGACTGGGCCAGGACAGCAAGCAGTCCTTGCTCATATGCCGAATCCCATGGATTCTGACATGAAAGACTGCCCTGTGATTCCAGACTTGCTGGTGCAAGCTCTGTGTACCTACACCCCTAAAGTCTTGTACTCACGAAATCAAGGATCTGCATTTCTTTTCCAGGGCAATTTTTTCCAGATAAAAAGACAGGTAGAAGAGCAGGACCGTAAGGAACTCATCTAGTTTCTCATTTCTAAATGGAAGCTAGAAATGTCACTATGAAGTCTGCAGATTTGCAGGTATATACACCACCTTTATGAAAACAAGTCTCTCCTCAGGGGCCTGCATTATATCAAATATTAGCTATATGGTTGCAACCTATTGGTAGCAAGCACTCCACCCTACACTAAGACTTTGAAGGCTTTTAGAGAATCATTAACAGTCCAATAAACATGCTGAAGGGTGGATTGATTTGGGTATCACCAGACATACTGCCAAGCAGCATGTTTTCTGCACTGAACACACTGGAAGAGTTGCATTCACAGTCAAAGGAAAAGGGACAACTCGGCCACCTCTCCCCCTCTGAAAGGACAGAATGACTAAGGCTCAACAAGGTCTACAGATACATTCCTAAATCAAAGGCAATGCAGACACTGTATGGCCCTGGTGATCTCAGGGATATGCCTTTGAGATATGCTCCGCCTGCTGCCTCCTCACTTTTAGCCTATAGAGAAGTAATGCTGGAAAGTGAGAGCAGCAAACAATGAGCCCTGTAGCTCTGACGGGAACAGCAGCAGCACAGGAAGGCAGACCAGATTTTCAGTCGTGTTAGCACTCCTGGTGCACACAGTGTTGTGGATGCGCTGGCTAACATGGAATTTAACATCTTGGCTTGCTTTAGGTAAAAGAGTGGAAAGCTTTCAAACAGGTGGTAGGGTTATTCCTCTGCACGTGTCAAGGACAACATGCATTTGGTATTGTTTCCCACTGAACCTCATAGATGAGACATTTTAAACCTCTGATATTTCATACTCTATTTATCATACACTTTGGTCCCTCCACTACCAGCATAAGTCTCAAAACAAACTTTAAATGACATACCTCATAGCTGCTGCAAATGATAACATGATGTGACTTAACTTTATTCTTTCAAAAGCAAAGCAGCATCTGAAAACATACAGAGGACAAAACCAGTATTTCCTAAAAAAAAAAAAAAAATAAAAAAAGGTTATTGTTAGTAGAAATAGCTTTCTAACTTGTATGGGTGATGCCTTGCTGATATGAAATACCAGCAATTACTCACATTTGACATCATCCAGTGTGACATATTCATGTTGTATCCACTCGGGACAGCCTATGCAGTTTCCCTTCTTTGTCAGCCAGTCCTTTTTCAGGATGCACTGCAATCATCTTGGAAGATGCTAATGTTTGATCAACATGTAACATTTTTGAACACAGTGTTAATTCCAGTCCGAGAATATTAAGATTATCTACCTGGTATGTACTCTCTTCATTGCACTCCGTTTCAAAGGGACAAGTAGTGAAATGTGTTTGGTAGGTATCCTGAACTAACTTCCAACTATTAGAACCACAAAACAGGCTGGGGATGTTGAGAGAAACAGGACATTTCACCTCTAAGGTTGCATCTGAAGTTGCTCTTTTAGTTGCTAATATAATAAATTGCGACTATATTATTTAGATCAAAGAGGTTTTAAGTAATGGATGAAAGTCAGCTATACCATGTTGTGAATTTATAAAATTAATAATAGTAATAATAATACTACTGCTTTAATCTTTGAAGTGCCTTACACAGATGAATTAATTACCTCACAATACTCTTTGGAGTAGATGAGAATTGCCTCGTTCTAAGCGATCTGGAAACAGCAACAAAGATGCTGAACAACTTTACCAAAGTCATACCAGGCTGGTGCCTGAGCTAGCATTCAACACCAGGCATGTCTGGCTCTGTCTTTATGTTCAGGCCACTCATCCGCACTGCTGAAACGACAGCTGGCTTCCTGTTTAACGTACTTTGTTCAGACATGATCCTCCAACAATGGATGAAAATATTCCCACCCAAATAATCTTGTTTCTTTTTGAGCTAGACTGGTTGAATTGAAATACCTCTTTAATGTCTTGACACGCACTTCTTAATGGTGAATATTTTTTCCTTCCTTAAGGTTTTCCTCAGCTGCTGGATTGGATCTGAAATATAGAGCGTGAGCATGCAGTAGTATGAGTTTAAACTACTAGCAGCAGTACAAATAGGTCAACATCTTATGATACAAAGGCTTATCTATTTTGCCCTCTGACACTAAGAAAACATCTATGTTGTGGTGGGGTCAGTGTGAGACATTGCTTTCAAGAGCACAGAAGCAAAGAGTAAAGGAACATCCCCGTGTCCTCCTGCTCTGTTTCCTGCCACCATGTGCACTGCACCATGTAAACCCAAGAAATCAGTGTCTCAGGTAGCTTTAGGAAGATTTTAAATATAAACTGCTCTGTTCCAGAGCTTTTCTTTGGGATCATTGAGGGTAGAGACAGGCAGAGGTCACCAGGAAGCTCACACCTCTCCCTGGAGAGCTACTGGGCAGAGTCAGCAGCGTTCCCAAGCCCAGCAGAGAAGCTGGCTGGAGCTGCTGAGACACAGACCATGAAAGACGCCTGCAGTAGCTGTGTGACCAGGAGAGAGGTGAGCAGCCTCACTCCACTGTGACAAAGGCTTGGAAAATGCCCAGCAGGGCAGGAGGCAGCAGCAGGCAGCGTGGGACTGACCCACCGCCGCCACGCTCCACTGCGCTCCCTGCCCTGCCCTTGGGAAGAGAGCAGGGGGATACAGGTTGGGTGTGGGGCGTTTTTGCCCCAGTGGTTTAGACGGCCTGATAAAGTCTTCACCCACAACTGCCACAGACATTCAAAGCACAGTGAAGTGCACTCTGTCCCCTGCAGATCTGTGGCTTCCCTAAAGGTCTGCAGTCCTCTGGTGCTCAGCATTGCATAGGGTCATACGTAACACCAGCAAGAGGGAACATCAGTCTGTGGACCTCCACCTATAGACACCTGGGGTAGCATTTGGCCCTCACGTCCAGCACTGCTGCTCCAGTGCATGGAGCACATTTCTGACATGTGGCAGGACTCACCACACACTTTTAACCATCCCTCTGCAGTGGGTTCACTTTGAGAGCAGTACGGAGTAAGTGCGTATTTCTGATTTTCTCCATTCACAGAATGCCACAGAGCAGCAGATGGGGAGCTCCAGTCTCAACTGGAAAAAAAAAAAAAAAAAATTTGTCCTGTAGTTGATGTTTGGGTAAAACAATATTAGACTCTGATTTTACCTTACTTGGAACTGCTGCATCAAGGCCTAAACTAAAATTATCCAAATTTGAAACTAAGCATCATTCTTTTACCTTGCAGATTCAAGTGTGTTAGTATCATCTTTCCAGTACCACACACCTGGAGTTAGTTTTATCATCTGCAAGAAAACAGCATATAGATTACGTGTCATAAACCTGTGCTCAAGTTCTCAGCCCAACAAAATATTTATAAGGCAAGCACTGTGTATATGAGCCACTTTTTTTTTTCACCGAGATGTTGTTTGTGTGTGTTATTTGAACAGAAGTTCTCTGAGATTAAAGTTTGCCAGCATAAGAAAGAAAAATGTGTATCTGCCCTTTTTTATGTCATTCAGGGTATGACTAAACAATTAAAAGTTTGCTAAGGAACATTAGTTCTTTGATTGCCAATGAATCAGTAAAGACTGAGAAATCAAATGGAACCATGTATTAAGCAACACATTGCTTTTATTTGGTTGGGGTTTTTTTTTATAATATTGATGTAATTCTAGAGACTAAGTACCAGGAGAAAGGAAACCTTTATTTAAAAATGGGGTATGTTATGTACTTTCCCAATATTCTGAGAACTTTAAATAAACACCAGATAGACCCTTCAGGGGACAATGGACAATATGAGTAACAGCATTTTACATTATCCTTTTTTTTTTTTTTAATCTATTAAAAAAAATCCCCTGGAAATAAATAAGATCTATTAGACCTTTCCTAATTAACAAGAGACACTTGCAACCCTTAGCTATTATTTGCAGGTCACCTTTAAAGCAAAATTACTCTTATTGCTGAAGTCCATCCACCTACAAATTTAAACGGAGTGAAACTTTAAGGCTTTCTGTGACTTTTTGCCAGGTACCATTTAGCCAGCAAGCCACAAGGCTCTCCTAAATTCTTGCTCAATGTAATTTGGCAGTAGAGTTCTGGGTATGGGACACCAGAATAATCTCACGTCAGCAGCCAGCAGCACAGGGAATGGTTAGACCACAGAGATGAGTATTAGGAAACCATGGCTCTAATCCTCTGACAAAAAGTGGTTATTTCAACTTGTCTGTTCTAGTCTTTGGTTCCAGCTTTCTAATACTGGTTTACAACTCTCAAATCAAAAGGGCCATGCAAATGCTGTACCTTTATGTTACACACAAGAGATCAGGAAGTGTGAAAGAAAAACAGAAAAGGTGCTAGTACAGCATAGCAAGGCTACTAGCGCATCCCAGGAAGGAGAAAATACCACTCGCGTGTCCTCAAAATACATCTCTGCTGCTTCTCACTAATACGAATGGATGAATGACTGTCCCTGGCCCCCACGCTCCCTGGACAGGGCAGTGGGACAGGTCCCTGCCCACCCCAAGGGGCCTCCCGTGGCCCCCGGATCTGCTGCAGAGGCAAACGTGAACAGCAGCAACAAGACGGATCTGGGAAAGGTGGGGAGACTCATGATGCTTGTCTGGGGCACCGCCAGGAGAGAAGCAGGCAAGGCAGGCACTGTTTACAGCAGTGTCCTGGTGACAGTCTGCTGTCCTCTACAAACTGCAGATTCCGGCATATAAATCTCCCTTCAGCCGGCTCTGAGAACTGGGACTCACGGTCTGTGTGCTCAGCTCCTTCCCAGCTCTGCTAAGCAGCTTCCCTGGGTAACATTTTAGTCCAAACAGGGAAATTAAGCACTTTCCATGTGATAACATCTCCACAGTCACTCATTTGGGCTTACTGTGTTTTTGACGGTCAGGAGCTGCAGAGATTTTCCTGGTTACCAGCCCAGGCCTGGCAGCAGTGAAGGCAGCTGCACCTGGCCCCTCTGTTACGGGCATTGGTGTCTGTACAGCACTCTGAATGTTAAACATACTTTAGCTTAGGACTTTACAAGATTTAAAAGTACATCTACCAGATCACAAGTCTGTGATATGACCTAGGTCCCTATGTGAGCAGTCAGCTCAAGACTTGCAAGTTGCCCCTGGAAATAATTCCTGTATGCTAAGACAGGTCGCTTAAGGGCATGATTTTGAGGGAGGGGTTTTGATCTTTGGGATATTGTGAAGCTTTTGCTTTTGTAAGCAGAGAATCTCTCATACTAGTCATTCACAGTGGATCAATGTCATGTATAACTGGCACTGCTTAGATCACACCCAAAACAGGTACAAGTTATATTGACAGAAGCACTTTTTGCCAATAGAAGTCAAGTCCCCGTGAAGGGTGAGGTTTCATGTTATGGCTAAGCCAGCCTAATAGCTAGTTGTTGATAGAAGAGGTATTCTTGATCCCATCAGAGTTTTCCCATCACTTGTCTTTGTATTGATTCTTTATCTTCTCTGTCCCCACAGCAAGGCGGCTCCCTAAAGTGTCAAAAATATCAATCCAACAAAAATAAATGAGAAGCTTTCTGCTGAGTTCGTATTTTACATCAGTTCATGATGAAGACAGAGAAGGGCCAGTGGAGATGCAGATAAAGATAAGGGCACAGGTGAGAGACCCCATTTGTCAATAGATCAGGCCAGCTATAAGGTGAAAACCAGCCACGTCTAGGAAAATTTTACTAGTACAGCTGCACTAGGCCAGCATGTACTTTGAAGAGATGAAAATACCTGACCTAAGACTTTTAGACATGTCAGTTCAGTAATTCAGAAGGAATATTTCCTGTGCTTTCTGCTCTTAAAGATGGCATAATTCATTTTTGCAACAGCACGAACTAGGGAAAATACTCCTGAAAGCAACACTGAGATGTTCATGACCCCATGGAAGCACAAATGGACAATACAATGCAGGGGAAGAAAATTCCCATAAAACGACCTGTCCCTAACCTCCCCCCATTTCCATAGCCTTTCAAACACTGCGTCTTTTCTCCTGTAGGGACTCTTTAAAGGTTTATCCATGCAAACACAATCAGTCCACGGATAGCTAAGCAAGAATCTCAAATCAGCCTGAAAATTCAGCTCTGGCTCGGTTCTCTACAGCAATCTCTTTTTTTCTTCTTTTGACAATCGTATTGTGTACGTTGTGTTTCCAGTTGCTATTGCAGGCTGCCAAGTACATATCCATGACTTGGCAGCCAAGTTACATATTTAAAAGGATGAGAGAAGCAGGTTTGGGAACGACCTCAGATTTCATCCATGGCAGCCAGGCAGCGCTATAGAAATAGGCTCCCCATCAGGGGAAAGGGGGAGGTATGGAACTTATGGCTCATCGACTATTTTTTATAGAGAGGGGGATGTCATCTGCTTCAGAACACCATCAGCCCATCTTGACTCCAGTAAAAGTCATGCCAGAAGAACTGATAAAAGTAAAGGATATGTTGCAGATACTCAGGGCTACCTGTGTTAGTCTTCGCAGAGCAGGAGGCAGGGGAGACAAGCATTTGGCTGTACTAAAGTTAGGAGAAAATTGGTACAAAAAACCCAGACAAAAGATGGGGAGAAACTAAGCCTGAGAACTACCTACAGGAAGAACAACTGTGAATGTAAAGATTGGGACTGAGCCCTAAAGACAGAGTTGGCTAGGCAGGCAGGGAAGGCCTGGGAACCAGTGCAGCACACAGGTGAACTAGGGGAAAATGAAGACAAATCCAGAAGGGATTTGTGGGGAGTGGGACAGAATTGGCTCTGGCCCAGCACAGGGGCCAGGACAGACAACAGTGTTAGGGGGAGCCCCAAGACTGACTGAGTTACCATGGCAGGAGGCTTGGGATACTCAGATGCAGCACTGTACTACCCTTAACCAAGTGCTTGCTGGAGAAGGTAAATTCAGCCCAAGTATTTAATGAGCTGAGGCCACAGAGGTGAGCACTAAACATCCCACTATTGTTGATGACCCAAATGGGTATCAGTCTGGAAAAAAAAATACTAAAAGCCTGACATTGTGTAGCAAAGGAGATTAGTGTCTGTTGTATCCCTGCTTCAGCTGTTGCAAGAGTTGGAAGCTATAAAATGAGTGAGCCAGAAGATTACAAGAAGTGAAATTAAGGCGTAATTGTTGAAGCAGTTGAAGGCTACATGGGAAACTGATTTCCACATGGGCTTCAGTCACAGAATGCCAGGTAAATCACTCCAACCCGCATTCAACCCTAATGACCATTATTTGCATACTCTTTACTTTCTGAGCAAACAGCTTGGTTTCATCAAGTATGAAATGCAGGACTCAGTATCCACAGCTGTGACCGAAGCCAATGGGAACTCTTCTTTGAACAGTCCAAGAGAATAATACTAAGCTGTCTGAAAAAACAGCTCCTTGGCATTTCCAGTGGAAGACTCCATAATAGACAGATGGCGTTTGTCTTTTGCTCATTTGTTTTATCATCTTCTTTCTGTGGGAATTATACACATCTCAGGGGTGAAAACTAAATGGATAATGTTGTGAAACACTCAAGATGTGACAGTGACGAGCTCCACAGGCAACATCCTAAGCAATAATTCTTCTCCAGAGCTGAGGCTGGACAGCAAACAGTAACTAAGGTGTATAATGAACTGGGAAATATTACTTTCTTGGAGCATACGCTGCCCACTGTGTGCACTGATTGAGGCAGGTGACCTACAGAAGAAAAAATTTAAAAAAAACCCCTGTCAGTGTGTAATTAAAAACTAGGTTATGAGGCATAAGCACAAAGAAAGCAAGAATCAGGCTTGCTCTGATCATCATAATTCTGACAACTGACCTTGCAGCCCTAATAAGCTTCTTTTAATGTTGTTTCTTGTGGTGTCTGTGTGTCCATGTTCATCCCAGTAGCTGGGAACACTCAACAATATGTATATGTATCCATTCTTTAGGTATATCTAATGTTTAATTCAGATATCACACCCAGAAAATAAACACATGCATAAACTCAACAAAAATATCACTGACTCACCATCCAGTCATTCACCTCTTTTCTGCCTCTTGTTTCTTCTTGCTGTGTCAAGTCTCTGTCTTCCATACCCACCATATTAATTTCCTCCTCTTTTCCCAGGGGCAGATAAATGTCAGCCCTGGTTTCTCTGGGAATATTAGACTCTGTGTGTGCGCACTACTGTTTGTTTTAGACGCACAAGTACAGAATTCAGTTTCACAGTAGCTAATACTTAGTCCATGACTACGCCATTTACCTGCCAAGTACTTCTGCCTGCTCATTAAAAACAGGATCATGCTACATGAATGGAATAAATAATGTCCTTAGGCGTAATACTGTGAACACTGG